AACTGCCTTTCACACTATCCTTCCTTGCTTTTCAAGCAATCTCTTACCTGATGTAGAGAGATAACCTTAGATTCCATACCCATATCAGTCTATGAATGACAAGTATTCCTAAAATTATCGTGTGTGGAACCCTATAATCACAATCACCAGACTAATTGTCAGAACACATTTATTGTCTTTGTAAATGTTTAAAAAATACTTGGAAAGACAGGGAAAATCCCCTTTTAATAAAGCAAAATAGTATCTCAATTTTTAAAACCAGATTCATACTGTACCAATAAACATTATCAGAAGGAAAAGCATGAAGTTGTTTGCGTGCCTGTTGTCAACTAAGAATGACTATATTTTATGGAAGAAATTTATAAAATAAACTAATGAAGATGTGTACATCCAAATTAAGGCAAAGTAATTCATGGTAATTATAACATACAGGTCGGAAAAACCCACTTCTTGAACGATGTATTTCTGAGTTTTCCTTTTGTTTGGGTATAAAATTCATAGTGAGAAGTTTTAGCTGAAACTAAAATGTTTTTAGATGATTCACCTACTGCTTTGATCTGATGAGACAGTGTGTACGTGTCTTCATATATGTACACATCCACTGGCTGTTCTTTTCAATGAATAGAGAAGACAGAAAATACACTGAAACATTTAAAAATTATTATAAGATAGTGTTTACGAAAACTATCTATGCTGTAATTGGAAATATTCTAAGTTCAAGAAAATCTGGAAAAGCTAATTATATGGTGAATATTCATTAGCTTGCTTGTTTATCCCTCCACCTTGTTTTATGAAAAACTAATTTGAAGTCCCTTAAAGAGATGGGAATGTTTTACGTGAAGAAATGTGGGCAAACACAAGTAGGAAAGTAGGAAGAGGTATGTTAATGAACAGACAACAGGGACAGAACGTGGGAGGAATCAGTGGTCCGCTGAAAATAAAACTACGTACAAACTGCCAGGAAGATAGAAGTTCCCAATGAGTTGAGGGGAAATTCAAGGCTGCTATTACTGAAATCTTGAGACAGCTTTAACATATTTTTTTTACAAAGACAACATTGGGTCCAAACTGAGTTCAAGATAAGATTTGAGAGCACCTACCAAGTTACTCATGAGAATGCCAGATTGTATTTTTCATGGAAAATTTGAGAACCTGATTAAAAACTCATTATGTTTCTGCTTCATGTAGAAATAATTAGGAAGTTAATGAAACTAACTTTTTACATTGATTGATTGATTGATTGTGTGTGTGTGTGTGTGTGTGTAATCAAAGAACAGCTCTTGGGAATTGGCTGTCGTTTTCCACCATGTTGGGTCTGAGGATCAAACTCAGGTCATCAGGCTTGCATAGCAGGCTTTCCCAGCTGAGCCATCTCACCAGCCCATTGAGACTAAATTTTAGAAAATAAGTGCCCAGACAATTTTATCTGCTGTGTTTCTGAAGTGATCCTGCTGAAAGTTTCTACACCTGACCACAGGCACCGCTGATGCTCACACTGTCATCACTGTCACTCTCTTTTTGGAACTCCCTTTATAACTGATAAGTTATACATAATCTTGTGTTGCATCTGTTTTCACAATAAAATGTTATTACCAGCTTGAACGGCTTTATTGTAAGTGTCTTTGAATGAATCCCATACACCACTAAAGAACAAAGTTTTGCCACCAAGAATTTCTCAGGAAAATTCCAAAAAGAGAGTTTGAAAACAGTTTAATTGGTGGAGTAATTGGAGTTATCATCTGGACTTGTGTGGAGTAGAAACTACTTGGTGAGCACTTTGCACCTGTGGCTGCATTCATTTGCATATGTGGTTGCATTGACTTGCATTCCTGGCTGCATCATTTGAATATGCAATTGAATTGATTTGCATATATGACTGTATTTATTTACATAGGAGGCTTCATTTGCATATACAACTGCATTGATTTGTCTTTCTTCGTTCTGTACATTTGACGTGACTAAGTCACATTATCTTAGTCTGTTAGAACCATTATAAATGTGTGAGGTGTTATTTATCACTATAGGTATGTTAGGGGTTTCTTGAAAAAATATAGTTATTACATTTGGTATGTAGTTTTCCCTTTTTGAAATTTGGTCACATATTTTTATCTAGTTCCATTTTCCTCTAAAAAAGTATAAAAGTACTTTTAATTGGTCATCACAACCACTGAAAAATATCATATAGAAAAGAATAAATATAAGCCGTGCATGGTGCATGCACCTGTCATCCAAACATTTCAGGAGTCTGAGGCAGGAGGATTATCAGAGGCCAGGCTGGACTACATAATAAGACCCTCAAACACACAAAACAGAAGAAAAGAGACAAAATGAGAAGGAAAAGAGGGAAGGGAAGAAAAAGAAAGGAAAGAAAAACCACACAATTACAAACTTGACATCTTCTAATGCTCTCAATATTTTAATTGCTGTAGCACATCACTGGTGAAAATGATCCGGTTCTGTATGAGACCTTGAAGAAAGTGCTTGTGTCTGTTCAGGGTGTGACATTTTCCTCTGTTTATCACATTAAGGCAGATCGGAATAGAAGTGAAGGACTTTGGGCGGAGTTGGAGAAGTGGGCTTGCCTTTCACTCAGTTATCCATGCCATCCGACCTGAGCTGGTGGACTTGGAGAAGGTGAAAGGCAGATCTAACAGAGAAAATCTGGAGGATGCTTTCACTATTGCTGAAATACAACTGGGCATCCCAAGACTGCTTGATCCCGAAGGTATGTGGAAGAACCCATGACGGCTGTGTGCCTGACCATAGCATGTCTGTGTATACAAAACCTGCACATCACATGACCTTTAGGACTCTATTAGGGAACAGGAAGCTGAAGAAGTACAGAATAGACTTCTGCACCAGTTTCTTCTGGATAAATATTTGCTACACTATTTAGGGACAAATTATGGTATCAGTGCTCCCAACAGCTCTTTGCTGTTGGCAGATCAGCCTGGTGAAGTGAACTTAAGATGCCCTGTTGAAAGGAGGTTTTCACACAGCATGTATGAGAGAGAGGGGCTGTGACAGGTTAAAAGAACTACTCTCTATAACCCCCAAATCTGGAAGAATTAGAAATGAAAGATTACATCTTTACAAAATGGGCCGCATTTGGCAATGTTGGTAACTGTCCAGTGCTTTGGTGTCAATCAGCAAAATTGCCCAAATGTTTGATTAAGATTTATCATTCCAGCTGTTTCTCACATTATTGAAAAGACAATTTTAAGATGGTTTAGAAATAATTAACCCTTTCAAGCCTTTAAAAGACATTTCTGATACCTTTAATAAACTTTAATAATGAGTAAGTTGCTTATTATGGTGAAATAAAAACATCAAAGTGAATTTTTCAAGTGCTATAGGTAATTTCTTATTTGGTTTGGCAATTATAGAATTATATTCATTAATGTATAAATGTAAACATATGGTGAAAGCAAATTTTTGAAAAATAAGATTTCAGAATGAACTTGTAGCTCTACAAAGATTCCTTTATATTTCCAATAGAAAATAAGAGACTTGGGTGGTTCCCTCTGAGATGGGAGGCACATGGAAATCCTCTGCTGAGTTAGGTTCTTGCTTCGGGCCCAATCCAACGTTTACCAGCATGGGCACGGACTTTCTTGTTTTGGCACAAGAAAATCAAGGGGGAAGCCAGACTTCAGTCATCGACTTAGAGGATGAAGGAAAGCCGGAACATTTCTGTCCTACTTATTTTCTTTTGCTATGATAAAACATTCTGACCAAAAAACAACTTGGGAAGGAAAGGGTTTATTTGGCTTTGCACATCCTGATCATAGTTCATCACTGAGGGAAGCCAGGGCAGAAACTCAGGACAGGAGCCTGGAGGCAGGAGCTGAAACAGAGACCATGGAGGAATGCTTACTGGCTTGCTCCGCTGGCCTGTGCTCAGCCTGCTTTCTTATACATCCCAGGACCCCCTATCTAGGGGTTGCACTGCCCACAGTGGGCTGGGCTCATCCACATCACTCATCAATCAAGAAGATGCCCTACAGACATGGCCATAGGCCAATCCAATAGAGGAAATTCCCCAGTTGAGGGCCCCTCTTCCCAGGTGTGTCAAGTTGACAACTGAAGTTATCCAGCACAGTTTCCAAGTTTGAAATTAAGTCTTTTCCTATTCCTTAGTCCAGAAACTCTATTTGATGATCGGAAACTGGGGCTGCCCAAATATGAGTCCATCTCAAATATCAGATCTTTTATTTCCCTCATAGAAACTCTTCAAAAGCTCTTTAGCCAATTTGAATGTTTAAACCTTTAGGGGTACAATAGACTACATACTGCTTTCCTGAGATCTCTTTGTTTAAAACATCTCTTTCCTTAGTGACAAAATTCCCACCCCTGTACATCCAGACTAATTGTTCTAAATTGTAATTCTATTTTCCCGATGTGTATTTAGACAACTGTTTTTGGTGAAGTTACATTTCAAAACTTGTACTAATAAAATCTAAGTAATGCTAATTAATATATTCACATTCGATTTTTGTTTTTCCAGATGTTGATGTAGACAAACCAGATGAAAAGTCCATTATGACCTATGTAGCCCAGTTTCTAACGCATTACCCAGACATCCACAATGTGGGCACGGATGGGCAAGAGAATGATGTAAGCATTTGATTTCTGTAGGTATTGATAATTGCTCCATGATGGGAACACACATTTTTATGCACACTGATTTTAGGAAGCAAATTTGGAGTGCATTTTAATATGAGAGCAGCTGAGTAAAAATAATTACAGTGGAGTAAGGAATAGATATAAGCAGATGGGATGGGATTAGAAGAAAACTTTTCTCTGGTTCACATGGCAGGTACCCTAGCCCGAGCACTGCCACTAATAAATGCTACCACCAAGCTGAAATTGAGGAGTGGTACAGTTTAGGAAACACTTCAGTCATCTGAGTGTACAAGTAATTTTAAACACATCAAGATTGTCAGTGTGCACACAGATCTCAAGTTCCCTGTTCCACCTGCTCTGAAGAAATCTAGACTTTTAAGTTTATTGAATCTATTTATAGCAAACAGGGGAGTAAGGCATCATGTATACAGTTTCTAATTACTCGCTGTGATTAGCCTTTTGGCTTTCAATAGTTTAAATAACGTTTTCATTTTTCAACATCCTCAAATGACACATATTCATCGTCATAAAATTTAAAAACTTAGGCAAAAAGAAAATTATTTTTATTTGACATCCTAGATAGACCTTATCCTAGGAAACAAAAGCTAAATTAATAGGTTAGTATTAATTCGTAATGTTTTATGTATATGTAGACTCACAGTATTTTAGAAAATAAAATTATTGCATACATAAATTTTATCATTTTTTCTGTTAATACTATGAAGAACTATTACATCATTATATGTATGTACAGAAATTTATTTATACAACTTAAGTACTATACATTTCTAATTTTCCATTACAAATAATGTTGTTTTAAACATTCTGTGATAAAACTTTCTTACAAGATTGTTTTATAGAAATGGAATTTCTACTCTAATTTTAAGTTAATGATGCTTTTTAAGCTCTTGTTCAGGTTTCTATGTAGAAAGCCTGTCCCATTTCACATTCTTGTCAGCACAGCGGATGCCTTATTTCTTAGACTATGACAACAGTGGATATAATGTTCTGATACTTTGGAAATTGTATTGCAGATTTTAAAAGTACAGAATAATGGGGAACTATTAAATTCACATTTTATTATAAGGCAGAACAGTCACAGAGAAATGAAAGAATTTTCAAAATGTGCCAATCTGGTCTCCAATGCTTGATCTCAAGTGTAGTTTTGGAGCTGTTTGAGATTGTAAAGGAAAAAAAAAATTAAAAGCAAACATCTTTAAATGACTGAAAAATAAAGCCTTTGAAACAGGCCCAAGAAAAAGTCAGACAGCTTTCTAAGTACTCAGGTATCACTAGTAGGGGAAACCAGTAGCTTCATGAAAGAATGGAGGGAGGCGAAGATACCACACTTCATGGTGATCTTGGGTCAAGTTAATGTAGTAGTTGGTACAATCATGTTAGCTTCTTAAAACTGTAATTTGAGGAAGACCTCTCATGCTGTTTCCTTCCAGTGTTCAGGCAAAGAGATTGGCTGTTAGAGCAGTTTGTTGGTAATTAGAAAGCAAGTGTTCCTAAGAAGCACAGGAAAGACTGGACTGAAGACCATGAACCTCCTAGTGTAGATCCCTGCAACTGCTCCGTAGTCATTTGGGGCATTCTGGGTTTTGACATTAAATATGAACTTGTGGGTTGCTGTGAGGATGAGAAATTTTATTTTCAGATACTAGATTCACCCCATACCTCACAGATTGCCATCTTGTTTTCCTATCTAAAATGTCTACGGATGGATTCGTACAGGACCTGGCTTTTCAGTTTTTACTGTGATAATTTCTGTGGCATTAACTATTTTCCCAGATGAGAAAACTTTGTGGCTGGAGACATCTGACAGAAAAAGGAAATACTTTAGTTAATGCTCATGAGCAATAATTTAAGTCAAAAATACTTGGAGATGAGAAATCACACATACACACACACCACATGATACATACATATAACATACATATCACACACACCACATGATACATATAAACCGCACACATACACAGAGGACACATACACCATACACCACATACACACACACACACACACACACACACACACACAGGACACATACACCACACACCACACACTCACACACACACACAGAGGACACAGGCTTTTTAATACACCTCATTGAAGAGTCTTCATTGCTAAGAGATGAAAAATCAACTGGGAAACAAATTTTGATTCCTTTAAAAAATATTTCCTAGTCAGGTGTGGTGGTACACACCTTTAATCCCAGCACTCAGAAGGCAGAGGCAGGTGGATCTCTGTGAGTTCAAGGCCAGCCTGGTCTACATAGTGAGTTCCAGGACATCTGGGCTACAGGGAGACCCTGTTTCAAAAAGACCAAAAAAAAAAAAAATTCCTGATGCTGTACCTTTGAAATAGTATTTTTATGCACAGATCTTAATAAATTTCTTAGTCTGCTTTTTAAAAACATTGCATCACCAGGCATGGTGGCGCACATCTTTAAGGCCAGCACTTGGGAGGCAGAGGCAGGTGGATCTCTGTGAGTTCAAGACCAGCCTGGTCTACGTAGTGAGTTCCAGGCCAGCTGGGGCTACAGGGAGACCCTGTCTCAAAAAGACCAAACTAAAAAACATATCTAACAGTCTTACTTTTGTGTATTGATATTTCTATCCCTTCTATGACAATGTAAATGAAATATTTTATGGGTACCACTTAAAATATAATTTCCTGGGCTGGGAGATTGCTCAGTGGGTGAAGGTACGTGCTGCTAAACCTGACTACCTTCGTTGAATCCCTGGGATCCACATGATGGAAGGAAGGAACCACACACATGCATTCACACACATGCTCATGAAATAAAATGTGTGTATATATATGTATATATATACATATAGATATAAAATGTGTTATCCATATATAATTTCCTTGCTGGAAAAACATTTGGTTTCTATTAATTTTTTTTTGTTTTTGTGTGTGAATGTTTTTCCTGCATCTATGTGAGTGCACCATGTGTGTACCTGATACCCACAGATTTCAGAAGAGGGCACCAGATTCCCTGGAATTGGAGTTAGGGATGATTGTTGGCCACCATGTGGGTGCTGGGAACCATCCAACCTCCACCCCAGCCCTCTAGAAGAGCAGAAAGTGCTCTTAACCACTGAGTCATATCTCCAGCTCTAGAAATACATATTTATCATGACTTCTTCAACCAGTTAAACAAATGAAAAAACTTTTAATTCAAGATATTCCTTGAGTAATTTGTATTGTCATAAATTAATAAAATAGACCTGCTGGCTCATTCACTAATCTAGTAAACTTCCAGTTATTTTTTTAGCTCATAATATTATTTTCTCCCAGAAGTGCAGCACACTCGTAACTATGACTGACAGCAAAATGTGTATCCTGAAGTGTAGTTATAAAAATATGAGCCCTTATGATATTTTCTTACACAATCCACCTTCAGAAAATTTAATGTCATTTTTAAACATATTTACAAATTATGTATTGCCACATATGACCATTTCAATTTCAAATAAAAGTATGAAATTTTCCAGATAACTACATTGGCAAAGTAGAAGTTATGGAAACATTTCAAAGCAACTATGTCCTTTAAATAATTGTCTGTCCACAGACAGATGCATCTCCAATGATTTTAAGCTTTCCTGTATAATTTTGTTCCTGATTTACATTATGTGTCTATGTATTATCTTTTCATATTGTTAGGAAATATTTCCAGTTTTTCCATCTTTTGCAAATTCTATCCAAAATTGTAAGGTAAGATTTAAATCATCTTGAATGAGTGTTTCAAACGTTCTTTATCCTTTCACTTGCTAGGCATTCCTTTGCATGTACTTTTCCTTATGCATAGCTTCCTTCTACTATCTCCACCAGGTTAATCCCTTTACTTGCTATAGATAATGTTCATATGTGCAATTAAACATCAGTGCCAATCTAAATTACTCCCATGAACTTACCCACTAACTTTTAATTTCAAGATGGTATCTATGTTCTTAACACTTAATAGCACTAATAGAAATATATTTGTAATAACTGGGTTGTTTTGAAATATGACATGGAAAGGTAAAAATCAAGTGAAATAACTATAGCTTAAAATGTTAAGCAGAAAACCATTGAAACGTAATGATTCAAGTTGCTCAGCATGAGTTCCTTCTTTACGTGTCTTCTGCTCAGCTTTGGTCACGTGGTTTAGCAAAGTTCATACATATGATAGATGCTCATAAATATTTATAGAATAAATGTTTTAAATGTTCAAGTGGTTGAATATGTAAACTCTCCTTAGGTTTTCCTTTCATTATACTATAGCTAGGTCCAGGACTGGACATCTGTCAATGCTATAGACTTGGTGGTAACAGTGGAATAGAAAATTAGAAATAACTGATTTCATGTCAAATATTAAATTAATTCCATTTCATGCTTCATGAAGCATAGGTTTGTGTATAATTAAATGTGGCATAAAATATAAAGGTGCCTTTGTGTTTGTGGGGTTTGTGTGTGTGTGTGTGTATGAGAGAGAGAGAGAGAGAGAGAGAGAGAACAAAGGGGATGAAATGGTCATAGTTTAGTTGCTTGGTACTGAGTTCCTCCTTCTGTAAACAAATAGATCCCACATTTTCTAAATGCTTGTGGAAGTTACCTGTTGAGAAAAACTCATTCAACCAATGGGTTAGTTATGAGAAATATTGTTTTTAATTTCCTTTTCCTCTTAAATAGGGAAATGTTGAGTGTAAATATAACAGTAGCTATATTACCTTTTACAAATAGTTTGACCCCCTCCTAACATGACAAAGTCATTTGCTAAATGGATTCTAATAAAGTCATTTTAAGAACATAATTCATGGACTGGAGAGATGGCTCAGCAGTTAAGAATACAGGCTGTTCTTGCAGAAGACCCAGTTTCAAATCCCAGCACCCACACGACAGCTAACAACTGCCTGTAACTCCACTCTCAGGGGATCCAACAGCCTCTTCTGATCTCTGCAGGCATTGCACAACACAGGTGCACTTACCTGCAAGCAGGCAATACACACATACACATCAAATAAAAATAACAAATAAAATTAAAAAGAACATAATTCAATGATTTGGTGAAGGGATTTTAGCTACTAGCAAACAGCTGCTTTGGGGGACAGTCCCAAGTGGTATCAGTAGCAGAAGTTGATGATAAACTTGTCCTGCTCACTGTGAGAAAGGTTGTGAAGACTTAGTTGCCACTTTGATCTCTGATGTCTGGAACGCTGGGGCAATTTTCCTCTGAGATCATAAGTATACATTATTAGTTTGTTTTTGTTCATGAGAGTCAACCAATAATTAAATGTGTACTTAGATTACTTAGATTACATTCACCTGCTCATTCAAAAAAGCATCTTGGGAAGAGCTGAGGCTTTGCAGGGTCTGGACCCCATTCTAGTTATTTTTCTTATTAACCATGTTACCAGTTAATTACTGTTCCATAGTCATCTGTTGAGTGATGCTAAGTGCCAGGCACTGCATTAACCACTGGAGATAAAATCATATTGGACAGATCTCTGTGTGTGTGTGTGTGTGTGTGTGTGTGTGTGTGTGTGTGCGCGCGCACGCGCGCGCACGTGTGTGCATGCGCACACACAGTTAAAGACACAGATAATGGCAGGCACTAGGCTGCTGCAGGTTGATAGAGAAATGTTCTGTCTGTGTCGCCCTGGTAGACCAGCAGCCTCATATTCACCTGCACATTTATCAGTGATAGAAATTCTTGGGTCTTGCCCCACATCTATTGACCTAAGAAGTCTGGGTATGAGCTCAGCCATCTGGGTTGTCACAAGCCCTCCAGGAAATTGTGGTGCATGTTAAATGTTGAGAGGTACTGGCCTAGGGGAGAAACTCCTAACTGAGACTTGTAGATCAGGAAAGCTTCTCAGAGACTGTCTCAGAAAAAAAGGGGGAAATAAATGTTCAGGCAAAATACAGCCACCTCTGGGAGACAGGCAGTGGGACCAGCCACAGATGATCACGTCAGCACTTGTACCTGTTTCTCCTGGGTGTGTAACATAAGCAGACCTCAAGTTATCGCCCCAAACATAGGGATGATGTGTCTTCAGATGGTGGGGCAAGCCAGGGAGATGTTGTGGTTGAAAGCTATTTGGAATCCCCTTCCCCAATCACGTTAAATACATTCACGTTTACCTTGGAATTCCTATAAGAAATGAAATCCTAATGAAAAATTAGAATTTTCTCTAAGTTGGTGCTAGAATGGGTCCTGCTTTTATTTGTAGAAACAGGTATGTAAACGAATGAACACAGCATACAGGTTCAGCAGATGGCTTGGTAAATTTCTTACAGGAATCACACTGCAAGGATTTGTGTGTTTTCTGTATACTTGGAGCTTATCATACTGAAGATCTAAAACAGTGATATGTGTGATTTGTCTAACATTATGATGTTGATGACAACTCCTTAAATTCAGACAAAATTTATCCCATTTAGAGTTTAATCATGACCTTGGATTGGGAAGCAACCCACAGGTCAATGTTTTTATTCATACTACTACTCTAAGTATTTTTTAGATGCAAGTTCTGTTTTGAGATTTTCCTTATGAACTTAGTGCTCTAACTTTAGACACACTAACTTTCCTTGGTTTTGGGGGAGGGAATGGAAGCAGATAATTTCAGTAATCAACAAGAAATTTTTTTTTTTTTGGTCTTTTTGAGACAGGGTCTCCCTCTAGCCCCAGCTGGCCTGGAACTTACTATGTAGACCAGGCTAGCCTTGAACTCACAAAGATCCGCCTGCCTCTGTCTCCCGAGTGCTGGGATTAAAGGTGTGTGCCACCACCCCAGACTCAATTTTGCTTCTTACACTCCAGAACACAGTAAACAAACAAACAAACAAAAATTCAGCGGCAAGAGCAATATCCTAAGTAGTAAGTATATCCAGAAATTAAATTTAGAATTACTAATAAAATTGTAATGTTTCCTGGTTTCCAGAGAGAAGACAGACTAATTCTGAAGGAAACAAAAGTTTGGATAGAACAATTTGAGAGAGATTTGACAAGGGCACAGATGACAGAGTCAAATCTGCAAGACAAATATCAGGCAAGTTTGGAAAAGAGATTTTAATTTTTCAAAAGCTTTTTATGGGTAATATTTATGTCATGTAATCTACATTTAAACTTTCAAGTTGTATCAGTGAGAAAAGTCTTTAAATAATGAATGTGCATCAGTCAAGTATGAAGAGAACAATTCTAATTCTATCTAAAGAGGTCAATTTAATTGCATTATGCTCACAGGCAGTGGAGCTCTAAGGTGTCAGCATTTTTGAAGAGCTTGTTGAGAGCTCAAAAGAAAAACATCGTCATTGTTTTCATAGAACTTTTGGGTTCATAGATGTCACCGCACATAAAAATCTATTAAAATAAATAGTTGACTTGAGAGAAAAGAAAATGCTATAAAATAAGCTGAATTGAATAAAAAAATTGCAGCTTGAGAATCTGAAAGGGGTCTGTTGGAGGCGTCAGTTTCTGCTGTGAGCTGCGGAGTTTAACACTTCTGTGTTCCAGTTGAGGCTGGAGGTGTGTGTCCTGGCTCCTTTCAGTGTCAGGAATGTGCTGCCAGAGTTCACTTTTGAGATAGGCTTATAGCAGGTTTTTACTAGTTAAAATTTGAATTTAAATTAAATTAAATTAAATTAAATTAAAAGTTGTGACTTTTCCCAGGCCATGTCATTTTCCTCCTGTTTCAAATTCCCCTTCATTTTGACGGGCACGTGAAATGTAACATTCTCAACAATTGTGTGGCATATTCCGCTCTGTTTTATTTCGGTCATTTTTTGTTAGCAAAAAGGTACCATTGAAGAGAGAGATTCAACATGGTAGGCACAAAAAACCATTAATGTATGATCTTATACAATGGCTCAAATATCCCTAAATTCAGATGACCATGCCGTCATTGTTATATTTTTTGAACTTGGCAAAGCAATAAATATGTGCCAAGTTTCCATGTTCTCTTTTGCTTTGAAACAGTATAATCTTGTTTTCCCCAAAATAAAACTTTCTGGGATGAGCGCCATTATAAAATGATGAAGCCAGCAAACTGAGAGTCGAGCTCTAAGGGCAGAGTGATATATTATTTTGTTCATTGGTAAGTTTTACTTGTAGCAAAAACTAAATTCTGAGCACTGAAGCAGAACCAGGTAGGCAGGGTTAGAGAAAAGAGGAAACAGAAAGACTCTGCACCAGAAATGAAGGTCAGCGCTGAGCACGTTTACAGCCACCTGAAGTCCGAAACCAGGGAAATCAGTGTTTTCTCCTAATTCAGCTCAGCAGAACTAATGTGTCCCTAGTTTTTCCACACACAGAATTCCATGGCACAAAATTAAATGTTGATTTTATATTTTGCTATCTCAACTACGTTGACTTAGAGGGAAAAGAAGAGACAGTGTATGAAAAATTTGTGTTCATCATCTCCCCCTAGTGTTCTTCAAGTGAATTGCATGTTTATAAAGTTGAAGTTCTTTTTAGAATCTGCTAGATTCTGTGGGTCTTCTCTTCTGAAGCATAATTGTATATTTTACTGGTTATTTTCAATTCATAGTTATACTAGGAACATATTTGTGGATTTCTAATTTTATATAAAATGTACATCTTCAAAATAACGATTTTTATAGTTGTATCAAGCCTATGGTTAGGTCTATATGATAAACATTTTAAATAATCTATGGCATACTTAATAATTTTATGTAATAAAATTAAACTATTAATAATGTTATGCCATAAAATTGAAAGGTTGTCACGTAAATAAGGTCTCCTAAAGTAAATCTGTTTATATAGGCTTACTTGAACATAAATCTAGGTATGTTTAGTTCAGAATTTTTTGATATATGCAATCTTACAAATTGTATTTCTTTGTAAAACAAATATTTTGGTAATTATTATAGATTTATATTCTTACTTAATGTGCTTTCCTGGTAAGCATATGGAAGAAATTAAAATTTATTTTTATTTTTAAACATTTTTCTTCTTTGAAGTTTTTATACATTTATACAAGCCATTCACTATTACTTCTCTCCAACTCTGCCTAATGATCCTCCCCCAGTTGCTCTTTTAACTTCTGTTCTCTTTTTTTTTGTTACTATTGTTATTAGTAAGCTCATGAGTCTAATTAGTGATACCCATTTGTGCATAAGTGTATGGCCAGCCACTGGGGCAAGGACAGGCTACCAGTGTCCATGTATCCAAAGAAATGGTTCTTGTTCCCTCAGTAGCCATTAACTGCCAATACCTTCTTAGCTAGGGGTGAGGCCTCAGGGACCCTGTCTCCATCTGTGCTGGAATTTTGACTGGCTTGATCTTGTGCAGATCTTGTATAGGTAACCACAGCTGTTGTGTATTGATGTGAGAAACAGCCACGTAATGTCCAGAAGTCAGAATTTCACACTGTCCTCCCCATCCGCTGGCTCTTACATTCTTTATGCCCTCTCTTTCCCTGATTTTCTTGAGTTTTGAATGATGGGAACTTGGTGCAGATGACACACCCATAGCTGTGCACTTAGTTATTTACACTTGGCACTTTGACCAGTTATGAGTCTCTACATTAACCTTGATTCATTGGAAAAAGAAGCTTCTCTGACCAAAGCTGAGAGTAGCACCAGTCTATGGATAATAAACATGAGTATTTAGAATGTAGTTTGACAGTGTGATCATTAAGCAAAACAGTAACAGTAGAGTCCCCCCTAGGGCCTATGATCTCCCCAGTCATGGGCCTTTGACCAGGTTTATAGTACCAGGCATGAAATCCATCCTGTGGTGTAGACCTCAAATACAATAAAAAAGAAACTGTTTACCCCATAACTATTATGCCACTGTCGCACCAGTGCGCACATCTTGTCAGCAGGTCTGTATTGTAGCATGCAGGTTTCAGCATTTAATAAGACCATCGATGTCTTTTTTTCCCCTAGCAGCCTACATAGAACCTTCTGGCATTATGTAAGCTAGCCCACAGGAGGAGTTTCTTGGTCAGTCTGAGGTTGATTTCTCTGTCCTCTGCATGAGGGCTATTATGATCTAGTTATGGTGGGCAACCAAGAGCAGCTGTAATAAAGTATGTTGTTTTGGCCGCCTCTGGGACTTCCCTCATCAGTAACCCATAAGGAGGCATCCTGTGCCTGGCACTGAGATTTTTACTTAATAACCCATGTCTTCTGGAAGCATAATTGTCTGTTCATGAAGGGTACTTGTGATTTATCCATATCTCTGTATATGCTTATAAACCACTGGATTTCCATAAGACTTCTTCATGTAGCCTTAGTTCTGGTTAACCCACCCCCTGTCCTTTCTTCTTCTCAACCCCCCTTTCTCTTCTTACACCTTTAACCCAAGTGTATCCCCAAACCCCTTTCACATCACCTATGTTCTACTAGTCCCTCTAATTGAGATTGTATCTTGGGATGGTAGACTGTAGATTTCCATATTGCTTTTTCATTCACCCTTCATTTTGGTTAAGCCTTCCTGCAACACCTCTCCCCCTTCCTGCAATACCTCTCCCCCTCCCTCCAACACTACCTCCCCCCTTCCTCCAAAACTACCTCTCCCCCTTCCTGCAACACCTCTCCCCCTTCCTGCAACACCTCTCCCCCTTCCTCCAACACCACCTCTCCCCCTTCCTCCAACACCTCTCCCCCTTCCTCCAATACCTCTCCTCCTTTCTCTTCCCCTTCCATGCTTGAACCTTTCCATCCCCAGTATTTTCTGCGTTCATTTTACCTGCATTTTACTCTCCTCCCTCCTTTAATGTGTCCACCCTTGGGGGTCTATTTCGAGTTCCTGGCTTCCACATGCACTCCAGGTTAACCATACAGAACAAAATACTTGTAGGATCCACATTTGAGAGAACATGCAGCATTTGTCTTTCTGGCCTGGGTGAACTCAGTATCATTTTTCCGGTTCTATCATTTACCTGCAGATCTCATGATTTCACTTTTCCTTACAGCTGCTCCTACATTTCAGTCTTGCCTCTGCTGCTTGTCAAATAACTTCTAGCCCACATAATGATGTTTGTGTGTGCTTATAGACAGACCCAGAGAGGACAATATATAGAAAGCACTTAGCACAGGGTCAAGGTCGTAGTCAAGGCTTGATGAATGACAGATGCTGTTAGATACAGAGTGTTCTCTAAATGTAAAGGACTATTGCTTAGTAAATGTGGTTTCCTTTGCCTTTGGTTGTCGGAGCTCATTGTCTTACTGTTGATGTTTTTCCTCTTTTAGTCATTTAAGCACTTCAGAGTTCAATACGAAATAAAAAAGAAACAGGTTGAACATTTAATACAACCACTGCACAGAGATGGTAAATTATCACTTGACCAAGCTTTGGTAAAACAATCCTGGGATAGAGTGTCCTCCAGGGTAAGTTCCCCACAGTTAATTTCATTGGGGTTTATGTAACTTAGTCTAACTCTGTGTCATCATCTTTGCCCACAGTTTTTACTGCACAAGGTCTGAGGTTGGGGGGTTGGTTATCGGAGCACCATTGCCCACTGGTCACACTTCACTGCACATTGGTGGAATTACTTGTTTTAGCAGCTGTTTTCCTGCTCTGCCCTTCCTATATGTGATAGCCATTGGCTGAACTCCTGAAAGATCCTCTGGATTCCTTCTCTTCTTACAAAACTTGATTCCCAGTTGTTTAGAAACGATGATTCTTCTCTCATAGATGAGCTCCTGAAATAGACAGCCAGCCATTTCTCATACTCCATAACCTTGTTTCATGAGCAGCTAACACCCTTCCCATATCAGCATTTAAGTTCACACTCTGTAATGAAAACAATCTGCTTATTTGGTTATTTACAGATTTGAAGGAAAGGCTGCCTAGTTTAGGTCATATACATATCCTTCATCAAACCTTAACCATTAAGATTTCAAACTTTTGGACCTGTTCTAACACTAGCAGAACTACTTGACATGAACTTACTTATTGTTATTTAATGTTATTTTATTTGGTAATCTCATTTCTTCACAAGTGTTATTAATGCTATTTATGTTATTTAATTTAGTAATCTCATTTCTTCACAAATGTCATCAAAGCATAGAATAGTTTCTAAGCTGAAATTCCTGTAGAATAGAAAATGGTATTTGAGAATTGGGTAAAATGAAGAAATGGAGAAAAGTTTATGAAAACACCTTAGATTTTTGGTCTGGGAGAATGAATCAGCCAATAAGAGGGCTTGCTGCATGCCCAAGCCTAATGACCTGAGTTCAAGCCCAGGAATTCATGTAAAGAGCCAGATGCAGTGGTATACATCTATAATCCCAGTGGGCAAAAGCGTTTGACATTAAGCCTGGCAACCCAAATTCAATGCCCAGAACCTACATAAAAAGTTGGATGTATACATCTGTAATCCTAGCACTCCTTCAGAGAGACAGGAAGTAGATACAGGAGAATCACTAGGAACTTCACAAGCCAGATAACCTGGTGTGTGCAGCACCACTGCACCAAGAGAGACCCTGCATCAAAATAGGGTAAAAGGAGAACAGCAGCTCCTGAAAAGTCCTCCCCTGACGGCCACAGGTGCATGGTGGCATGTGTAAGTCAGTCTCTCTCTCTCTCTCTCTCTCTCTCTCTCTCTCTCTCTCTCCATACCTCCTTCCCTCCCTCCCTTCCTCTCTCCCTCCCTCTCCCTCTCTTTCTCTCTCTCTCTCTCACTCTCTCTCTCTCACACACACAGACACACACAAAATACTTAAGTAAAAATTTAAAAGAACAATCTTAGATTTACAGAAATAATTTTTAAAGATTTGTCTTCATGTCTTCATTTTTCCTAGTTTTTCTGATGGTGTGGGAGGTTTTAGAAGGATTTTCATTTGGCAATTAGAATATATATCTACTGGTGTGCTCTTTGGGGATCTCAGAAGATCTTTCCCTTCCATTTAAGTAAAAGTTGCACTGAAATGGTAGTCACTAAGTTATTTCCATGAACAAAAATCACTTAGACATCCTAACAATATTTTTCCATGTCTAACATGTCTAAGATACATTTTTTCTCAAAATTTACTGTGATTATGATTTCCTTTCATTCTCAAAGCATCAACTCTGAATCCAGATCCTAGCTTTTATGATATTTATTAAGTTATCTTGTGTTCCTTATCTTTAATCTATGAGGTGTGCATGTACACACATGCACATGCTGCACACATGTGTGCAGTTCTCACACAGAACTGGAACTCCTTAATTTGGTAAGATTGGCTGGCTGCAGAGCTCAGGGATCCGCCTGTCTCCACCTCCTCAGAGCTGGGATGACAAGCAGGTGCTGCCACACCTGGCTTTCTTATGTGAGTTCTGAAGATAGAACTCAGCGCCTCATGCCTATGTGGGCACCTAGCACTACTCTCTGAGCTGCCTCCCCAGTCCTTCTTGAAGCTTTTTGTGGATTTTTAAAAATTCATTTGGGGAAGTTTTGGGAACTATATTCTATACTAGAGATTTTTATTGTTCCATTTTTAAAAAATATTTCAGCTCTTTGATTGGCACATACAGCTGGATAAATCTCTCCCTGCACCCCTGGGCACTATAGGTGCCTGGCTGTACCGGGCTGAGGTGGCCCTGAGAGAGGAGATCGCTATTCAACAGGTCCATGAGGAAACAGCAAACACTATACAACGGAAACTTGAGCAACATAAGGTAAGAATTCTGGTTGGAAATGATGATCCCAGAGTTCCCCACGGCCTGGACTGGCATGAACTTCCAAACGCCCATCATAGGGGAATCAGACATCATCATAGAGGTGCTCTAATTCCCATTTCCCTTGCCTGTACTAGCTAGTGATGATTTCTGTACATTGATTTTATAATATATTTCCCCATAACTCAGAGCTAGGTTTTACATATGCAGCTATCATTATTTCTGTTGCTATGATATTTTTTATATAAAACATAAGTAACAGATGATATGATATAAACCACTTAATCATGTGATTAGCCCTTGACTCCACACCTTACCTCCAGATTTATTCTCAAAGAAAGACAGGCAAAAGTTCTGGTGCTGTGGGTGTGGGCAAGGGAGCAGAGACCTTTGAATGGAGTGGTGGACTTTGATGGCCTATTACTCATCTGGACATTCTAGCCTGATAATATGGTTTATCTGTATAACTGTTCCAACACTTCTTTGAGTTTTGTGATAATATAGGCCTAACTCACTAAAAATGCTATCTATTTGGGATTGATATGTTACCTTATATTTTGTGTGAATGAATTTCGGTACTCCTTGTATTGTGACAGGTGTTAGATTTTAGCATATATTGAAAAGTAAGCTGATCAATAGAGATTTCTGCTCCTATAATTTATCAAAGAATTATATTTTCTAACAAATGTTTGATATATATATATACACATAAATTACCTGAGAGAAATAGTCATCTCTCTTAGAGCAAATCACAAAGCAGATTCATGGCAGATTTGCCTCTGAGAGCTTGTTTTTGGAATTCCAGATGTAGAGACACATACGTAGGGCATTCCATTGCAGCTCAAAAGACCCAGCCGCACAGGACCTCATCCAACAGACCAGTATAGCCACGCTGCACGGTCATCTGGGAATGTCACTCCCAACACCCTTCTGCATGTCCTTGTGTCTTCCTGAGACACAGTGCCTTCAGACACTTCTACTTTTGCATTCCCTTGTTTCATTTTAGTTGGTATAATCACCATCCTATGTATAAGGTTCCTGTGGTGTTTCAAAATGTACCAAGGTGGAAAAATTAAACCAAACTAGCTAATGTATCCATCACCTCAAACTGTGAGAAATGATAAGAAATGATCCTGCTACTGTGTATGTACCCAAAAGAACTGAAATCTATGTGCCCTGGTTGTGGCCTATAAGTAAATGTTGAAAAGACAGAAGCATGATGATGTTAAATTCAAGGCTAGTCTGGGATGTACCATTTAGCTGGGCATGGCTCAAGTCTATAATCCCAACATACAAGGAAATGAGGCAAGGAGATCACTGTGGGTTCTCGTTCCTTTGTGGTGATATGGAAACCTTCTCTTCTACTTATTCTGAAGTATATATTATTTCCAGTTAAGTGACTGTGCCAACCCCTGAGACACCAGAGCCTGTTTCTTCTGTCTGAAACCTTGCACTTTGTCCATTTCCTGTTCCTGTCCGCGCTCTAGCTCTGCCCCCCGCCCCCCTCCATTCTGTAATTACCCTGTTCCTTTCTATTTGTCTTCAACAGTTCAGATTCCGTAAGTCAGTGAGAGATACTTAATGTCCCTTTGTTCCTGGATTACTTCACTGAAAATAATGTCCTCGAGTTGTCAGGTTGTCAGGAATGACAGAAGTTGCTATAATGCTTAAGGCTAAGAATATTTGGCTATGTGTATGTCTCACTGTCAAGGATGTATTTGTTGCTGTTTATGAACAATGCTGCACTGAACACTGGGGTATAGACTTCTCTTTGGCATATAGATTTTCGGTTTTGTCTGTCTGTTTGAAACAGGATCTTACTCTGTAGCTCATGCTGTTCTCTTAATGTAGCTCAGGCTGGCCTCAAACCCACAGTGATCTACTTGCCTCATCTTGAATGCTGGGATTAGAGCCTTGAACCTTCTGTCTTTTCAATATTTGCCTACAGGCTACAACCAGGGCACATAGATTTCAGTTCCTTTGAGTATATACACAGTAGCAAGATTGTTGGATTATCTGGTAGTTTTCCCGGTAAGCATGTAGTTAATTATACAAAAAATGGATTTCATTATCATACTTTCATACATATGTGTAATGTATGCTGGTCACCTTCGTTTGTCCTCACCCTTTCCTGTCCTCCTCCCTCCTCCAGCTCATGTCCTCCCCCTTCCCAAATAGTCTACCTTATCAGGTACGTGTGGTGGCACATACTTTTAATCCCAGCACTCAGGAGGCAGAGACAAGTCGATCTCTGAGTTGGGGGCAGGTCTGGTCTTCATAGAAAGTCCAGGCCAGCTGGGACTACACAGAGACCCTGTTTCAAAAAGACAAAAAAAAATCTTATATTTTCATGTGTTTTTTGTAAATCTACATTTTACATATGAGAAGAAACATGCTGAGTCTCTATTATTTTGCTTAACATGATGATTTCCATTCCCATTCATCTTTCTGAAAATAACACAATTTTACTATTCTTTATGGCCAAATAATACTTTACCATGTATATATATACGTTTCCCTCACATGTTCACCTCTGATGAGCTCTTAGGCTGATTCCATTACTTGGCTTTCAAGGTTTCTGCTGTAAGTCTGCTTTTCCTGCATGTTTCGTAGTCCTTCTAGGGTTTAAAGCCATAGCATTTTAATAATAAGCCTCAGATCCCTTTCTGCTCATGTTCTCGTTCAATGAAAGTAGAGCAGAACATTTCCCCCAGTCTGTGGAAGGAGACAGACATCAAATTACACGAGGCATTTAGAACAGGATATAAAACCTAATTAAAAATAAGGAAAGCGAAGTATGGTGCTTCACACCTTTAATCCCAGCCCTCTAGAGACAGAGACAGGCAGGTCTCTGTGAGATCCAGGTCCACCTGGTCTACACAGTATGTTCCAGGAGGACTCAGACTGGGAAGACCCTCTTAAAAAACCAAAGCAAAACAAAAAACAAAACATAAAGGAAAAATGCAGAAATACTGTTGGAACAGAACAGGTTAGGAGGAATTACAAAACAAAATGAGAATTTAAAAAGAAAACACCATTAAAAATACTAAAACTAGTAAGAAGAAAACTGTATTTTGGGTTCTTTCTGTAGTTTACTTATTATTCTTATTTTATGTGTATGAGTGTATTGCCCTCATGTATGTAAGTGCACCCATGTCATGCAATGCCCACTAAGGTCAGATGAGGGTGTTGTCGGATGCCCTGCAACTGGAGTTAGGATGGTTGTTAGCTGCCCTATGGGTGTTGGGAATCGAACCCAGGTCCTCTGTAAGAACTGCCAGTGCTCTTAAGCACTGAGCCGTCTCTCCAGCCCCAATTTTCTTTTTTAAGACAAAGAATTCAGAAGCTTTTTCCAGTTCTTCTAAAATCGAAACCTCCCAAGTCTGGAAAGTGGAGTAGTGAGTTGTGGCTGTTTCTATTAGACTGCTGCTGCAAGTGGGTTGTCAAGGGTCAGTTGTCACCTTTAAGCTGAGTTCACTTTAGAAATTTCCTTTCTTCTGTACTGGGAGCAGCTGCTGGCCCAAGTGAGTTTCATGAGCTGCCTGCTGGACTGGGTTCCACTCGCTCCAGAATGCCCCAGTGTGTGTGCACAAGCAACAAACAGCCAAGCCAAGGGGTATTTCCAAGGACATGACAGACTGAGAGATGTAAGCAGAACACTGAGATCTGTACTTGAGGGTGAGCTGAGGGGGCACAGCACTCCATCTGTGGGTCTCAGAACTTTCAGATCCTGCCCAGTAGTAGGCCACCCTGCTGGAGGACTGAGACTGGGAATATGAAGCAATGTGTATTCAGAGCTCAGTTCTGCTAGACAGCAAACAACACATGCCAGAGAGGCAGCTCCCTGGGTGGAGCGTCTCCCTGCCTCTCTATGGCGCTCTTGCCTTCACAGCAGTTCTCAGGCAGCAGGGTTTCCTCTTTACCACAGAGGGCAGGACCACTGATCAAGAGCCCAAGCTCCCTGATGCCTAAACTTCTCACCGGGTTGTGCTTAACCCGCCTCCTCTCTACGACCGCTTGTTGTAGCATCTCCCACCCAGACACAGTGACAGGCTGTCCCCAGCCTCCCTGAGTGGAGATTAAACCTTTCCTTCAGGTCTGCGGAGTAGCTCCATCTCAATATGCCTCCCCTGAAGATGGTGCCTGGCCATAGTGCCTCAGATGTAGGGAGTGACTAAATGGCTTTCTTCTCCCGTGCTGGCTTGACACACAGGAGTGCTCACTGTCCCACCAAACCCCACAGTGACTTTGAGGCTTGCAAGGACTATGGGTTTCGCCTGCATCTAGGACTGCCCATCCTACCTGGCTTATTTGTGGTTGAAGCTTTGCATCCTACCCCAACACACCTACTCTTCTCTGTGCTGTCTTTCTGTTTCTTCCTGATTGTTTTTCTGTCCTATACATGTCTTTCTTGCTTGCTAATGTGCTTCCTTTCTTTTTCTATTTAGAATATATTATTCATTTTGATGCCCTGACTCTGTGCATTCCTGGAGTCTCACAGAAGAAGCTTCTATTCCACTATTTTACTCTGGAATTCCTATTTTTAATTTTATCAGGAAACTTCTTACTTCAAAATAACTAACTTATATTATTGTCAACGGTAGATAAGGCTTTCCTTTCCCCCACATCATCACCAAAACTTGTGATGCTTCATGTTTATGATAATAGCTATGCTAACAGGTGTGAGGTCATAGCTCATGGTGGTTTTAATTTGCATCTTTCTTACAGCTCAATATGCTGTATGTTTTTATGTACATCTATTTATTTGTCTTCTTTTGAGAAATGTTCAAGTCCTTTGTCCATTTTAAAAAATATTTTCCTTATTACTTTTTATTTTATGTGTATGAGTGTATTGCTTGTATGTGTGTAAGTACACTTGTGTCATGCAGTGCCTGCAGAGATCAGAAGAAGGTGTTGGATCCCCTAGAACTGGAATTATAGATAGTTGTTAGCCACCACGTGGGTGCTGGGACTTGAACCTGGGTCCTCTGCAAGAGCAG